CCCACAGGAAAAACAGCACTAAGCTGGAAACCTTCCGAATCTGCTGCTGCACAAACTGAGCCAGCCAGCTTCAGGGACTTATCGTGGGAGACCCTGCTGCTGCTAAATTCAAACCCAGTCTGGCTCTGCAGTGCCTCAAAACCTGTAGATAATCACTGGGGTTACTGGATTTCCACAGTTCAAAACTTCACCAGGCCCTTTTAAGAGGCATCCACCAGTGCAGCTTCACCAAATTGTTCAGGTGTCAAACCACAGAAGTTTAATTTCTTGCTCATTCACAGATGAAATAGATGCATTCTATGAGGGAGATTATATTGTAATCCTACTGTTTCTCTTTGACCAGTAGCTGAATAAAAACCACTTTTTACCTGCTTGTTTTACTGGTCAGCACTGCAGGAGGCTATTAAGGAACATATTTGTGTCCAAACAGCTCAAAACATTCAATAGGTTTTGCACTGCACATAATACAAAAAGAACAACCAATTTAGTTTGCAAATAATCAATTAGATGCTGATCTTGTCCCATCTGGAGCGTGCAAATCACCATCGGGTGCTTTTTGTGCTTAAGAAGTTGCACACAGATCACAGGCAGCATGCATGGGGGTGTATATAGATCAAAGCATACACAACTCAGGAATAACTCATCTAAACATCACAGCTGATCACGTTGTGTAAAATGGTTTGGATAAAATGAGACTTCCCGAAGTCCAAAGGCAAACAAAACCTAGAAAACATACCTACAATAAAAGGAAAGATTGAAGGAACTGGGGTGGCTTGCAGCAGGGAAGACTTAGAGGAGACGAGTCCTGAAATACTGGAAAACTTGTTACAAAAGAAAATGGTAGGAAAAATCCTCCCTACTTGCTAAAGACAAAAGCACAAATGGTCTTGGCAAGACAGGTTTTGACTGAGAGCAAGTTTCAAACTGTAAAGCTTTGCAAGTTATGGATTAGAATATACTGCCAAGGGCAGCTGTGGAAGCGTCTTACCCTGATGTTTTTTAGGGTTGTCAAAGAGCTTAGAGAAAGGCCTATCAGGGACAGCGTGGGCAGAGGCTGTGCTGTCGTGGGAGGGGTGGCAGGAGCCTGAGAGCTCTTCTAGCTTTCACTTTTGTCTTGTTTTGCAAGCAACAATGACACTGAGGTCTCCCAGAGCAAAGCACTGCGTGTGAACTCTCAACACCGACCTTCAACACGTTCAATACTTAAAGCCAGGTCTCTAAACTAGTATTTGCACAGATAATGCTTGATATTCAGGAAGGTTCCATCTGCAAATGCTACTGACTTAAATATTTAGATGTTTATTCTTTGGAGGTGGAAAAAAGCTGAACAAGATACAGTTATCCCATGCTGATGAGTACAGACATATTCGCCTACATACACGTCATACGTGCTCCGAGATGACAACTGATCACTTACAAATGAGATGAAACAGACTTCTCAGCCATTCCAAAGACTGTACAGAAAGTTATTTTATTAAGCTTTATAAATTAGTGTCTAATTAGACTAGTTGGGAATAGAGCTTAAACACACCTAGAAGACCTATCTCAGGAAATCCTTGTGGTTCACACTGTTCCTGTTAAACAGCAGAAAGAGCTTGTAAATCTATCCCAGCAACAAAGGTTTATAGGTAAAAATTTACACTGGAACAAAATGGTGGCAAAGCAACAGCCAGGGCCTGCATGCAGGACTCAGGGCTGCACTGGAAGAAAATCCCATGGAAGAGCTGAATTCAGGCCACAGATCCAATGCCTCCTAAGAGGCACTTTAGAGAATCCTGGAAAAAAAAAAAATGCTGCCAGAGACAGAGAAACATTAGACATAGCCCATTAAAATGTACCACACTAATGGTCTCAAATACTTCAGCACAACAGAATATGCTTTGAATTACAGTAATGCAGCATGTAACTTCACAGGTGCCAGCTCGGCGCTGACCGGCCCAGAGCCTTCAGGTCTCTCAGTCTCTCGTCACTACAGAGGGATTTCTACATCTGTGTTCCAGAAAGGAAGACAAGTTTCAGGCCAAGAGCTATTCGAGTATTTCTCCCTGACAGAAGATGGCGGCCTAGCCAAAATCTGTCAGACTAAGTGGCTGAAATATCTAAATACAAGCTGATCTCTTCAGTGTCTCGACAGCAGCCTCAGCTGAACCAGCTATCACACACCGAGCAACTAGTTAGACTCCCTTCATCACAGCCTGTGCTCTGAAGAACAAAGGCTCTTCACTGCTAATAACTATTTTTTTTTTGGTCAAGGCAAATTAATTTATTTTGCAGCGCTGGAGAATAAGCATTCCTGTCTCTGTGAAGAGAGCCTGGCTCAACAGGCTGACACCAGGAGCTAGCCACTTCTGCTGGTCTGTGTACACTAATCCATTTGCTTCTGTTTATCCTTCCCAACCAAGGGAATGCTTTGCCATTCAGAAGATGGAGGCTGAATAAATGTAGAAAGCATCAAGGAGGGAAAAAAAAAAACACCACCCTGCAGTATCTGCAGCACATCAAGGCAGAGGGAAGCATTAGCAGCACAAGCCAGAAGCTCCACTCCACACACCCCACAATAACTGTCTGACAAGGCAAGGGGACAGTGGGGTTCGGCCTCTCTACCTACAGCCAAGATCCTTCTCCAAGTGAAACTACTACGAGCTTCAGCCTTCAAACCACAGGTCCTAGCAGGCCCAGCTCATTTTGCTCTTCAAGTGCCTAGTGCCACCATGCCCAGGGAATGTGTCTCACCTCCTTCCCTCCAGGCTCCACATTCCACAAGGTCAATTTTCCAAAGGTTAAATCAGAAGCTTCCCTTTTCCTTTGAACTGCAATACTACTTCCTGGCTTGAGCAGTACCAGGCAAGTCAGTAATACTTGCCTTCTCCTTTCTCCATCAGGAACAGCCAACAAGTACTTCCACAGAGGCTTCAGCCCTTACCCTGGAGGGAAATTCACCTCCCTTGACCAGTAAGGACATTTACAAAGGCTCCTACTCATGGCTGACTCAGTCCCTACCCTCAAGCCACCATAGAACAAATCGTTCCTATGTCCACACGCCGGGAAGGCAGCCCCAGTCTGCACTTGAGAGTACAAGGATCGTGGAGAGAAGGTAATTTGCATCACAAGGCTGGTGATACTGCTCAAACCAACTCTCTCAGCTCACACAGCAAACCCTTCTCCACTATCACCCACTGCTCTTTGGGCTCTAACCCTCACCTCCTCTCAATGGGACAAAAGGGAACAGCAGCTGGGAGACTCCGTCCCACTGGGTGTATCCTACACGCAGCAGACCTGCCAGATGGGTGAAAAGAGGACTTCTGGGACTTGCCAAGGACAAAGAAATGGAAGTTTTACTGTAAGTGATGTATCAACCATCCCATCCATCACTTGAGATCGCAAAGGCCAAAAAATCTTCATTCTGAGGAGTTCAAAGTTAGAAATAAACAAAAATATATAAAAATGCGACACAAAAAAAGAACAGAGGAATGCTTTACCAATAGAAAAATCAACACATAACCAAGAGTAGAAAAACATGAAATAAGATGTGAATAAAATCTGAAAAACTCACTAAAGCCACTGTATTTTGCAGATCTATATTTCTGCATTACAGTTTATTAAAAACATCACACAGATCCTCTCTGAAGAAGTCTACACTTCTGGTGTTTCTGATTAGGAATCTGACTACGTAAAACTCACAACTCATACTTAAAAATTAAGGTGCCTTAAGAAAATTCAAATTCCATAGCAGTATCACCCCTGGTTAAAGGGAAGCATTACCTTTGGTCTCTTGAGTTACCAGTCTCCTTCGAGGAAGATGTTGGCAGGGACAGGCTTTTCTTTTTCTCCTCACTTTTTTCCTCAGAAGCATCTATAATTCAAAAGAAGAGAAATGGATGCAAAAGGGTTCAGAACTGGTCTGTATGCTACAACCCTGCACACACTAATCAATGTCTCCACACTACAGGTTGTCGGCCTAAAGCAAGTTATTATTCTCCAAGAAGAATCAGGAGAAAGAACACCTTTCATGCTTTCCAACAGACCTTTCACTTGCCTATAAGCAGAAAGTAATTCAAACAAAAGCTTTCCTCACCAAACTAGAGCAATCACCTTCCCTGCTGAGGAGATAAGCTTCCTCTCAAGACGTGCCCCATCACAAAAGTTCCTTTCAGAGACACCCTGGCTGCGGAGTGCAGATTAGATCAAGTTCTCTAAAGAACCACTAAAAACAGCATTTCCAGCCAGCACCACCTGAAGGGCCAGTACAGGCCAGTCCTTCTGGGAACACAACTTCTAGTGTTTCCCCAAGGGGTGCTGAAAGCCAATAGCACAGCCCTGGAGAGGACTTTCATGACACTGTAAAACAAGTTCAACCCAGACGTAAACTGTCTCAGCCTTGCCAATACACATCAACCCTCACGTGGAAGTGACAGCCCCAGCCAAGACAGGAAAACAGAGCTTCTAACACTCATTTAGCCTATCAAGAAATGGGGAGCCCTGGGGTGCAGACTAGAGCCAGCTCCACATCTCCTTTAGCCTCAAATCCCTTCTGTTCTTCGTTACACACAGCTGCCCAGGAGATCAGTTCAAAAAGGAAGAGGTGTTTGAATGTCACACTGGGGTACTTTGCCACTAGGGTAGAGTGGGAGACACCAGCTCTGGCTAGCAGGACGCAGGTAGAGCTGCCCTTCCAATCTCAGCCTTATTCTTTTCACAAAGGTAACCACTATGTTCACATCTATAATCCCTCCATCTGTAACTCAACATTAGTTTGTGCTATATCAGCACTAAGATTCCTCAGACAGAATTACAAGCCTCTGCTTCTCAGTGCTCATCACCAGGAAAGCCTTCCCCACATGTGAATTTGTCTAAAAGGTGTTAAAGTCCTTCTCCAGCTCATCACCCAAAATCCATTGTAGCAATTCTCTTCACGAGCCGTTGCACAAGCTTGACAACACATGCTGTATTAATGCCACACAGCACACAAGTGTGGGCAGAGGGTTCAGAGTGCAGATATTATTTCTACAGCTAATGCTGCTAATTATTATATGGACAGTTACACGTTAAGAATAGTCCTGAAGCTGTCAGTGCTCTTTCAAGGATGAGCTAGCTACAGGGGAGCTAAATCCGGAGGAATGCATGGTCAGAGACAAAACTTGAAAGACAGAGGGTGCAATTGTAAAGGCTGATATGCTAGAATATTCTGTTCAGATCAACAGATAAGCTCTCTTAAGAAACCCAATCTCCCTCTGAAGCCAGCTCCTTCACAAATTGAATCTGACAAGAACACGCTGATTTTCTTACCTAGAAGTTTTTTCCAGGATTTGATGAGGGATTTGGCAAGCGATATCACTTCTTCATCTGTGCTCTGCTTTCTCAGTGCATTTACTGACATCCCAATGCGGGTGGACTGCAAGTGAACATCCAAATGAATCATTCAAGAACAGATTTGCTATTTGCTACTAACTAAAACCAGAAATAAGCATGACGAAGTCAAAGCAATAACCACGAAGCATCCATGGACTGACAGAATGATTAACTCCTCAGAACTTCAGAAGAGATGACACTCTCCAGCTTACTCCAACCAACCACAAGCTAGAAATCCCATCACCCACAAATACCTTCTCCACACACCTGTAAGTGACACTCTAAACTCAGAGTGAAAAAAATCCAAGATGCCTGTCTTAAATCTCTGAATTGTAATTCTGTTCACACCTCCCCAGTGTCCTGAATATCAACATTACAAAGACTCCCAAGGCTGCCCTTTGTGTTTGCTGCTTTAACCTGGTCTTTCCCCTTTTTTGAAACCTAAGGAGGGATTTGAGCAACTACCCAGGTTTGCCTCAGCAGCTGTACACAAGTTTCAGGCAGCACATGGTGGCCCAGAGCTGTTTAGGCCAAAACTCAAGCTCAGTACCGTTTTCTGGATTTAATGTTTATTTTGATGCTTTCAATGAGGCAAGAAGTGAAAGGGAAGTATTAACTTTAGTTAGGCAACATTTCAGACTCATCCAAATGCAGACTTCAGCTTTTTACCCTAACTGCGCAGCTCACCTGCAGTAAATCCAAAGTCATTGGCATACTTTTCAGTTCTTTCAGTAAATCCATTGCACCATCCTGGAGAAAAAGAGAGAAACAGAATGAGTGCCTCAGCTTTTAGTGAAGAAATGCAACAGCTTGGGAATAAATTCAGAAAGTTGAATTCAAAGGGAAAAACACCAACAAGCCTTCCCTAAAACATCAGCAAGATTACTGCCAGGATTGCTGTTCCAGAGAGACAGTAGATCCTACAGTCTGGAGGCACCTGAGATATTGGAACGGGCAAACCAGAAGAGCACTGGAGCGCTACAGATCTTTGGTGGCGTATGGTACCACTGCAGCATTAGCTTATTATCCTTACCTGACAAGCCTACTGTTGTTTTTAACACCTGAAAACCACACTCTGAATCACAATTGTCCCCTCAGCAACACCACTTGGCTTCCAGGAGTATTCCTACCATCGGACTCACTATTTCAGGGAACCCAACTGATGTTATTAGCTCGCCAGAACAGTTTAGCAGAGTTGCAAGAACTTTATTCACCCACTTAAAGCTCAGAATCACTGTTCAGAGACAGAGCTAAAAGTTTTTTCTTTCCACAGCATGAAACTTAATGTGGCTGTTTCCTAGTTTTCATGTTGGTACCTCACTCTGCCCAGGACAAGAGCTGATACCAGGAGAAAAGCCACCAAGCAGTGACGCTGAGAGCTGGTCACTTCAAAGGAAGCTTCATATAGTAAGTTTTATCAGCTCTGCAGCCCAGAACTCAAATCCAGGAAAAAAAAAACCCTGACTCGGCTATCTGTAGATTTCTACCAATTTTACCTGAAATTGGTAGTCACCCAGAGAAATGGCAGGGACAGAAGCACTAGACAAGTCACCCTTCAGTAGCACTCAGCAGATCTCAGCCTGGAGTATGTCCAACTCCTTTCAGCTGGCTCTTTCCTCCCATCCCCCTTCCACACAAGGCCGTCTATTGCTCACATTTAACAGCACATTTAAAACACCAACCACTCCAAGCCCATTTGCAGCGCAAGACCTACAGAGCCTACGATTGTAGAGAAGCGAAGCAGCCTGCACTGACAGACCCTGTCCTGGGATCCAGTCCTCCCTACGCAGAAGGGCCGTTTCCGATTCCCTGCAGGAAGCAATCCAGCTGCCAGTGCCACCCTACAGAACAGATGCTGAGAAAGCCAAATCAAAGCAAAGTCAAAAGCTTTCAGCGCGCGCACACAAGCAACTCACACCAGCATAAACCACACGTTACCGTACCCAGAGCGAGCGACTTCCCACTCAGGCAGTTTCACACCTTTCCGTTCCTCCAACAGCCAAACGGGCTCCATTAAATCCAGCCCTTAACATACAAAATGACCCGGTGATTCCTGTCTCCGTTATCAGAAATGGAGCCACTTGGCACAGTGGCAGCAAATGGGGATCCATGCAAAAACTAGAGTAACAAACAGGTACTCCAGGCAACCATCCTGCAGGAAGAGTTTGCAAGTTAGCCGATATACAGTAAACACGCTACGGTTCAGTACCATATAAAATGCCAACCAAGAGGAAACGTTGCATACCGCTCAGTTTAAGAAGCTGCCTCTCTCTCTCAATGAAGCTTGGAAGCAAATTCTGCAAGGTTGCTCCTTTCCTATTTCAACAATGGTGTTGAAAACCTGCCATCAACGGGAACAGACATCACAGGCTGCAGTTTAGCCCAAACGCGCTTCCCTGGGTTGTTACAACAGCTACATGAGTGCCAGCACTCACCCCTATCCATGGCTGGCAGAGCCAGTCCAGCGTCCAGAAGTTCACACGACAACCGCACCCCATCACCCAAATAAACATGCCCCAAAGCCCTTCCCCTCCTCGCCCACCCCCTCCCCTTCCCCACAGCCCTCCCTGGCCCAAAAAGCCCTCTCCCCCACCCCAAACATATCGACAGCCTACCTCCTTCACAAACCCTCATCACCCATCTTGCTGCCTTAGCGCTTGCATAACACTTTGTACTCGTAGGAGCACCAACCCACATAGCCCATTAGGCAGGGAAATACTTGCTCTGTCCCCCCCCAGGCAGTGACAACAGCTACAACACACCCTGCGAGACCCACAGCGTGCAGAGAGCAGCAAGGCCAGCCCTCCACGCTCCAAAGGCCACGAGAATGCGCAGAAGTGGTGCTAGCATGGGATGGGGATGCAGGAGGCAAATACAGAAGCACTGGGGATTTTCCTGAGGGCACAACAGAGCCCCAGGCCAGTGCTGGGGGGCAGTGCACAAGGATCCCCCTTGCCAAGGGCCCTAATGGGATGGAGGGGGGCGGAGGGCTGAGGATGCTGCCGTGGAGGGAAACACCCCAGCAGGCAGCACAGGGTGAACCCCAGGGTGCTGAGCTGAGGGGCAGGGGGTGCATGAGGCCTGGGTGGGGGGCACAGCGTGGGAAGGATGGGTTGTCACAGCAGCAAGGGGGGAAAACATAGAGCCACCGCCCCCCAGTAACAGACAGCGCGATGGAAAGGGGTGGATCCTACACCGGAGCCCACGGGGAGGGAGCCCACCCCACTGCAAGCCGGTCCAGGGGAGGGAACCCCACCTTGCCTGGGGGGAGGCTTCTGCTCCACCACAACGACGGGGGCCGCACAGAGAGGGAGGCCCCCAAAATGGGGGATGAGGAAAGGGGGGGTCCCCCTCATAACGGGCACTGAAGGAGAAGTAGGGGGGGCCCTACATCGCGGCAGCGAGGACAGGAGCCCCGCGGAGGAGCAGGCCCCGGTCGCCGGACCAGAAACCGGGGAAAGGGGGAGGCCCCCTGACCCCAACCGGGCTGCGGGGGCCCGGCCGCCGCCACTCACCGCGCTCTTCTTGGCCACCATCTTGTCCAACCGCCTGGCGATACGCACGATCTCCTCCTCCCCGCCCATCGCGCCG